CTGCGGCACGAGGCAGAGCGCAACTTCGACGCGGACGATCTGCGCGAGCTGGAGCGGGAGATCCTTCAGGTGGGCAAGATGATCCACGACCTGGAGATGAAGGTCAACGTGCCCCGCTGGACGGTGCAAGCCCGGCAGGCGGCGGGCGCCGAACTCCTGTTCAGTGCTGGAGCCTCCTCGGCGGGCTTTGTGTCCGTAGAAGAGCGCACAGGGCCCTGCGACCCGAGCAAGGCCCTGGCTGCCACTGTTTTCAGCGCCGTGCTGCTGGCGGCGGTGGCCCTGGCCGTGTGCGTGGCAAAGCTGAGCTGACCGACACCTGATAGCCTGCCGCTCAGCTCCTTCCTGACCGCCACCTCTCCTTCCCCAGGGACGCCCCTCTCTCGGAATGACCCTTACCGCTAGGACTCGGGATGGGAGTGAAATCTGGCATGTTTAAGGGGGGCAATTCTAAAACCCCGTGTGTGTAGGTGTACACGCGTATTTCCAGCACACAGCTACCAGCAGAACGTGGTTTCCTCCTGCTAGCCAGGGAGGAGTTAATTTGTGCAGGTTGTCAGGGCATTATCGCTAATGTTTGCAGGAGCTTTATCCTCTATTAATAGAAAACAGTCCACAGTGACCCCAGATTCCTCTGAGTTAATGGGTTACCGCGTGTGCTGCTGGGGCATGTTTGCACTGAGTCCGAGCTTGGTGCCAACATCCCTACTGGAGACTCACTCCACATTGGGGCAGTTTGATGAAGGCGGTGGTGAAATGAAGTGTGGAGAGGGGGGCTGTTTTGCTGGAAGGGGGTTGTTTCTTCCTGGACAAGAGGCAAATTGCAACAGGATATAAGCAGGATTTCTGTTATTATTATTATTATTATTATTACCTTAATCCTTTGGGGCCTAAGTTTCGGAGAGGAAAAATAGACGTTCATGCAAAGTGCTTTCTGGATGGCTCACGATTATGCTTCTTGGCAGAATCACCAAAAGCAGCTAGAAGAGGTTTGGGGTTGTGCCCTCGCTGCAGGGTCTGACTCTGCTTAGGAAACCAGAGAAGGGCTACAGAACCTTCCTTCATGGGTTGGACCCACTGCGCACGCTGCCTTCTGTTAAGGGCTCTTCCTCGCCTGCCTGGGAAGAATCTCAGAGGGTGCAAGCTTTGGAACTTTCTCCTTCCCTTTGGCTTATTTTTGCTCCAGAATTAGACCAGAGTTTTTGATCCTCCTTTTCAGGGAGGGCTGGGGAATCCTCTTTGGAGCCCTTAATCCTGTCTATCCCTTGGAATTTGCTTGCCGGCCAGTAGGAGAGCTGGTTTTGGAAGGAGCTGCACAGCTCTCTGACCCCAACACTGCCCCCTGAGGGGGTATAGTAGCATCATTGGCGCTCAGAGAATGCAATAGTTTTAACTTGGAATTTAATGTGTTTTAAAAATAACAATCATTTTAAAGAAAAATCACATTGTGTACTATCAGAGCTGTTTGTTTTTTTCTAAAGGACATTTGGCCATGAATGTATACGTGCCAATGAGTCAAACATAGTTTTTACTTATATACTTTGGTTACTAAATATATATTTGCATTTAATTTTTAAATTGATCTTGAAGGCAGGAGGTCATAACAAAAACTACTAGAACCACAAGTGTAGGCGACAGGAGTTAAGCAGCCCTTGCTTCTCTTGGTCCATAAATAAGGAAATGTAGAAAACACGCTGAGTCTGAGGCTGGAATTGGCCTGAGCTGGGCTGCCACCTCCCACCTGTGTTACCAAGAGAACATCTGTTGAGAAAAAAAGATGCATTTACTCCATAAAGGTAATGATTTGGCATAAAATTCATAGGCATTGGTTTGGCTCAAAACTGAGAAGGATTTTTTTTTTTCCTTTTTGATGTCCAAAGTGAGAAAAGGGACCAAGAGGAGGGAATTGGCAGGTTTTCACAAGGGCAGCTTGGGAGGCCAGTGGCAGAGGGAAATCGCAGTAGGAGTGCTGTTCGGGCACCCAGTCCTAACTCCAGACAGTCCTCCCAGCCCAGCCCACTCCTCCTCACACACAGGTTCCAGTAACTTAGAATATGAGGTGTTTGCATAGCAGTTTTAAACGACTCAGAGGGTCTTAAGCCGAATTAAAGTTTTATGACAATAACTAATTAAAAGGAACTTCTGCCTCATCCAGTCTGCGTGAGTCTGAATAGCGGCCAACATAAAATTATTTTGCATCTGACAGCCCAGGGTACTTTCAGAGATGACACAGTTTTCTAAATCCTTTCTTCCTCTTCCCATATACACCACAACATGGAATCTCTGTCACTTTCCCCAAAGTCTCATCTCAGGCAAGAGGAGGCTGGGGCATTTTGTGACCCAGTGTTGGAAAATATCCCTAAAAACCAAGCCCTAAGTAGATTTTTCCTTTTCTAAGTCTTGGATTCTCTGTTCTTTTTTTAAAGACTAGTTTTATTTTTTAAAAAGAATAGTTTTATTGATTTTTTTGAAAGAGAGGAAAGGAGAGGGAGAAAGAAACAGTACACTCCCTACTGGGGATCAAACCAGCAACCTCCTGGTGTGCCGGACAACCCACTGAGCACACTGGCCAGGGTCTGACTATGTTCTTATCAAGATGTTCTGTTCATGAAAAACCAATTGTTCAGCAGAACCTGTTTTTAAAAAAACTTCAGAAGTTGTGTAATCCATAGAGAGCAATTCGTTGTCGCTCTTTCCTCCCCCTTGGCAGATCCTTGGGTCTTCACTTCTATGTACAACCAGATGTGTACCTGATTCTGAGAGCCCTCTGCTCGCTGGAATTGTGATAAAGTGTTGCAAAATTGGGCCAAATTACAATAAACATATTTTTGCTGTCGACTTGTTAGCTTAAACAACACGCTTGGGTTTGAAAATGTTAAACATTAGGAATATTTGGCATTATTTGTAGGTATAACATTGCCTAATAGAACTTTTGCTCGATGATTCAAGCAAAATCACTTGCTGCTTGAGCACTAGGCTACTCTTTCTCTCTGCTCTCATTTCTATATATATTTCAAGAAATTGCTTTCTTGTAGAAGCCTGATTTAACTTAGATGTTTGATATGTTAATACCTCTCTAAAAAACACTTGGTGTGATTTTTATACCAGGATACAAGTGATAGGAAAGAAAACAAATTCAACATGTTTAATATAGGGTATAATGAAGCAGTCAATGTTAAGGTCTATGTGAGAGAAACTCTAATTAACCAAATTAAAAGCACAAGCTAAAGGATAGAGTTTTACTTCCAAAGTAAAGTGCTATTGTTAAGTAAAATCTCTTGTGAAGTTAAATACTTGTAAAGAAGAAACATCCCTGGCTTATCCTTTGGGAAAACAGCACTGCTTTTTATGATACTGAAAAGACAAAAACTTGATATGTCAAGGCACTTATCATGGGAACTTTGAACTATTGCTATTATTTTTTAAAAAGCACCAACTAATAATGTTTGTGGGAGAATAAAATGCCTGCTGGCAAATTCTTTTTTTCTGTGCTCTAAAAACTTATACTTTTCAAATGCAGAAGGGAAAATATTTTTGGTGACTAAAAGTAGAGCATAAACTTTATGATTTACCTAAAGTTTACAGTAAGCTACATATGAGATGCGTGATGTCAAATGACTAAAAAGTACTCTGGTTGAAGAGAGAAAGAGTTCTGGTTTGCATGAGGACCCTGACAATGCTGCATTTTCCTTTTCAATTTGGTTGTTTTTCAGAATGTAGTTCTCTGTTCTTTATTGAGTGCTTGTTAAGGGTGTGAGCCCGAGTGTGAGTCTGCGTGTCAGTCTGAGCAATAAAGTGATGAGGACTGGTCTCTATGTTCTCTGAGGGCATGCCTCCTCCGGCAAGGCCTGACCAGCTGCAATGGGCAGGGACTCTGCCCCTCTTTCCAAGTACCTCAGACAAGTCACTGACCTGGCTGTGCCTCATGTCCCTCATTTATGAAATGGGTGTGTGTGGGGGGTCCTCACTAACTCAAAGGTCCCTTCCAGAGCTTAAAACATTTAGTGGAATGCAGTTAAACAAGAAAGGGTTTTTTTGATTGTTTGGTGTGTTTTGGTGCATATTGAAATATAAACTTACAGTTTGGTGGTTATTGTCTAAAATTAGTCTGTGGGTAAGATTCCATATGATTTTTAAAAATCAGAATCAACTAAGCTTACTGTGATTTTAGTCCATATCAGAACTAGTGGGTGGACTTAAAAAGCAAATTTGTGTATGCTGCTTAAATTAGATTAGGAATTTAAATTCAGACCCTAACTCTAAGTCCAAGAAAGCCCAGTATTTATTAAATAGTTTGTTGTACCCAGCAGTTGGACCACCTAAACTGATTCTGGGAAATTACAGATGCGAAAACCTGTCATTTGTCATGGAGACTGGGAGAATCCTATTCTGTAAGTAACCTGGTGCCCTCAGAACTATAACTACGTTGGCTGCCTGATGTCGGGGAATGTGAGCACAGCATGTATGTGGCATTGATAGGAGCAGGGAGGAAATGGTGGGCACTAACAATGTTCATAGATATTATATATCATTTCTGTTGTCTTCATCAAAGAAGGTACACTCTGGCCTGGTAACTGATCCTCTCTGGGAGTTTGGAATGCTGTCCATTCTCTGATTCTGGTAACGGGCTAAGCTGTTTGACATCATAAAAAGATTAACTACCTTGTTATCAGACTTCAGGATTCTGGGATGGGACACACTGACCACATACTCCACAGCCCTTATCCTGCTATACGTAGCTTTTCTTCCCTATTCCTATATAATCAGCCAACTGGCAGAAGATGTTAGGTTTTTTTTTTAAGTTTTTATTGATTTGAGAGAGAGAGGAAGGGAGAAGGAGAGATAGAAACATCTATAAGAGAAACATCCATCTACTGCCTCCTGCACGCCCCCTTTTGGGGATTGAGCCCGTAAGCCCTGGGCATGTGTCCTGACAGGGAATTGATCTGGTGACCTTTTGGTTCATGGGTTGATGCTCAACCACTGAGCCACATCAGCCAGGCAGAGTAGTTTTTTTAAAGATGCCACATCTGCTGCTCCTATTGCCGACAATTCGAATAAACACAAGATTCAACCTGGTCTCTACTCATTGACTTCGTGGCGACAGGCAGCAATGGACCTGTTATGTCTGGTATCAGTATCAGATCCAAGGTGGAATAAAAAGCTTTGTGTCTTTTAAATAAAATGTTTATTAATAACTAAAAATTAAAGATAACATGCAGTATTTATAACTTAGTCAGAAAAGGCACCCTCAAATGATTTGGCTGTCAACTATTGTGATTAAAAAAAAATTCCTAATCTTCTTCATGCATGTTTAGAGTGAATGTCCTGATCAACGTATTTACCCTTCACAGATTTCATTACATAAAGAGGTGTTCAGAAATACCTCAGGATTATAAATCTCCAAGTGCTGTTCTACAATATGATTATACTCATCTTTTAATGTAGCCTGGAATCCAGGAAGAAAAGTAGGTCTCCACATGAAGGATCTTTGGCTGTGGTCAACAAAGATGAAAGTCACATTTAAATATTGTTTCCTTGGCTCTTAGGAACAGACCAAAGGAGCAGGGACTGACCACATGCTGCAGCCCTGTGTCCATGAGGAATAAACGATTTCTGGAAAAGCATTCTTCTCTTTCATTTACTTGTTTTCATCTCATTCCACAGAGGAATCTTTGTGTTTTTATTGTAGTACTATGAGATCCTGGGCAACCTTGTTCTTAGGTGTGTACGTTTAGAATTGTATAAACTTGAGGCTCATATGACAAATGTAAATAAGCCAAATGAGGGCTCCTGTTGGCAAAATGATTTTGAAGAGTCCTTTTAATATGCTATTGCCACAAGGCAAAGTTGAGTGTCTCCTGCTTGTATGTATGTATGTGTTAGGCATAGAGAGAAGATCTACAAGGAAATGCACAGAAATAAAAATATTAAGGTGGTGGGATTATGAATGATGTTTTTTCAGTATTTTTAGTGTTGTTATATTGTTTTTACAATAAAAATTTGAATGCTCTTATCACCTGGAAAATGTTATTAAAATATATATTTTTTACAGTTAGAGTCTTAATTATAATTAGAAACCATTTTAGAACCTTCCTCCCAAAAACAAGGCAAAACACTTCTGGAATCTTACCCCAGAGAATCAGAAGCATTCTTTGAAATATGGTATCAAGACAGAATAGGCCCTGACCGGTTTGGCCCCATGGATAGAACATCGGCCTGCGGACTCAAGGGTCCCAGGTTCGATTCCGGTCAAGGGCATGTACTTTGGTTGCGGGCACATACCGAGATGAGAACAAAGTGAGGCCTGTGCTTGCTCGCCCGAGAATACTGCAGGTAAAGCATGTTCAGGCTGTGCTGGAAGGAGGGGAACCCACACAGGGCTCAGCAATCTCCCTGAATAGAGAAAATAGTGCCTAGGAGTCCAGGAAGGCCAAGGTAGCTAAAGTTTGCAGGGCAAATAATGGAGAGAAGAGAATTGCACAAAAAGCTTCAGAGATCTAGATAGGTCTCAAATTTTGAGGTGAATACTGAATGGAATAAGATACACCTAAGTTCTGATCCGACCTCCTTAAAGAAGTTCCTTAATCTCTCTGACCTCAATTGCCTTATCTTTACAATGTGAGTATTAATAGGGTAAACTTCATAGGAATGTACAGATGACTTTTTCCAGGCTGTCAGAATTCAATGAATGTTGGCTCATTGCTGTTATTTACCATCCCACTTTAGAAGTCCAAAAAATGGATGATTGCCATATATATATATTTAACTTTCTAAAAATCAAAGTTTATCTAGTTTTCGAAGATTAAAACTAGATAAACTTGTCAAATGAGAGAAGGTATGTAACAAAGAGGTTAAGGCTACAGAGGGAAATTCAGGTTGATGTAGATGTTGGAATCCATACATTTATAAAGTCAAACTTATTGAAGTATAATTTAAATGCAGCAACACTCACCCTTCTTAGGTGTGCAGTTTTGAGTTTTGACAGATGTATACAATCATGTAACCACCACCCTAGTCAAGATAGAGAATCTTTCCTTCACCCCCAAAGGTTTCCCATGTCCTTAGTAGTCAATCCTTTCCTCTCACCCCTGGTTCTGGCTACCACTTACCTGATTTCTGTCCCTATAGTTTTGCCTTTGCCAAAATG